GAAAACCTCTGCAAATGTATTTGTCTTGCCAACTTCCCTCTCTGTCTCACAGGACCTGAACAGGATGTACCAGGACACGTTTCAGATGAGCTAGCTACTGAATGGAGCGCTCTGTTTTAGGGTTGTGAGCTGGCAGCTCGCAAAGGAATTAAAAAGCCACAACATACCCACACCATCTGCTGTAGCTTCCGTCCTGGGAGCTGGCTGGGATTCTGCATCCCATTCACCTCCACTCACATCTGTAAACAAACAGGACAGAGCAGCTTGTGTCAAACACATCCATATCCATCTCCAGATGGGAACAATGAGGGATCACTCCACAGCACCCTTCTCTCCCTTCCACACAGCAGCATCTCAACCATAGGTGCTGGGTGCCTGCAGTGGCAGCGTGCTGATGGACAACAATCCATGTGTGGAACTGCCTGGAGACAGGGGGGCGAAGAGAACTGAAAGGGGATGGAGAGGGGAAGAAAAGAGAACAGTAGGGGGAGCCCCAAAGGCTCTGTCCTGGTAGTGATTTAGCTCTGGATTCCACCTCAGGAACAAAAGATGTGTCTGACCAGAACACTGGATTAAAAGAACCAGTGTAGTCATCTAGAATTACAAACAGATGAGAGATGTTCCCATTGAATGCTGTGATCTCTTTTTCCATCAGAGAGCAGAGCTGGGCCAGGTAATGGGATGGGAGAAAGATCCAGGTTGTCAGTTCCACAGCTACAGAGTGGGCAGGGAGACCCACTGGCTGGCCATGGGCAGGTTGCAAAATACTCTCCAGGCCATGTGCAGCATCATCATGGACCGCATGGACCAACATTTGGCTTCTCAGGCCTTGCTTACTTACTTACCATTGCAGATCAGTGGTGGGCACAAGGGAAGGTGACACTAAAGCACAAGAGGAAAACATGCAGCCAGAACTTTGTTCTCCTGAAGTTCAGGGTCCCGACTCCACTTTTTGCCAGGCCCGCATTCTTCAAGATCACAAACTCCACCAAGGCATGTCAGCACAGCCCAGGCTGCCTCCAGTCTTAGCCTCTCTAATGCTCTCCTCTGCATTGGTGAGCACCAGGTCTGGTAAGGCTTCACCTCGGGTTGGTCCATCTATTTCCTGGACCAGGAGGTTATCCTTGACAGACTCCAGGAATCTCCTGGATTGTCTGCCACCCGCTGTGCCGCTCTCCCAGCAGATATCTGGGTGGCTGAAATCCCCCATCAGGACAAGAGCCCACAAGCGTGACAGCTCCTGCAGCTGAAGCAAGAAGGCCTCGTCAACAGGCTCCTCCTGATCAGGTGGGCTGTAGCAGACCCCAACCGCTAGGTGCCCTTTACTGGATCGATCCTTGATTTAACACACAAGCTCTTGACCTGATCGTGGCTGCTCCTCAGACACAGCTCTTGGCATTCGATCCACTTCCTAGCGTAGAGGGCAATTCCCCTCACCATAGCTAATGCTGCGTGGGATGTTTTGACGCTGGATCTGACGTCAGCCAGCCTCTTGGGCTGTGGCTGTGGCTTCAGGACCCAGGGCTGGTCTGAGCCTTTCCAGCTGTGGCTTTGGGCCTCAGGGATGGTGTCAGGCTCTCTGCCTATGGTTTTAAGCCCCATGGCTGGTGTAAGCTACTCTGCCTGAGGCTTTAGGCCCTAGAGCTTGAGCGGCCTATAACAATGTGCATTTTAAAATGGCTCATGGAAGTAAATGAAAGCAAGAGAACACGGAGCTCTGCTGGGTATTTCTAGAATTGGGATAGAGACAGGAGAGCGTGCTCAGCCTTGTGTGGTTGGTTGTACCCATCAATACCAACCATAGCTGAAACCATCTTTACGTCTTTATTAGACAGTCCTCTGTCTGTCTCTTTTTTTTTTTTTTTTTTCTCTCTGTTTTTGGGAATGCAGGGATTTCTTTTAGTGGCCCACAGACACTGCCAGAATAAGCAAGTCTAAATTATCACTGTTCTTTACCCTCCGCAAGAGAAGATGGCTGTACTCTGAGGGCAGGAGGAGGCAGGGACAAGGATCAGAACCAAGAGCAGAGTGGTTTCTTTGTTGCTCAATGGAAGGAAGGAGTGTGTTTAATGCAGGCAGATTTGCCGTAGTGTTTCTTATGACTGACAGTGGGATGAAATGTGCCCTGAAGTGGGTGTGCTTGCAAGTTGGCAAAAGAGAAATGCAAATCATGATAAGTCTCCGCACTGTACTGGGGACCCTGCCTGGGAGCAGAGCGATGTGAGAGCCCCACGACCTTCTGACTGTGAGTTGTGTAGAGTCCCTGTCCCAACCTGTGCGTTTCCTTGGCAAAATGGTCATTCTTCTGGAAAGCCCAGCTCCTTGGGTTACAATATCATGTGAAGAATCTCTGGTTGAATTATTTAGAAATACTTTTTTGTTGGTGGTCAAGTAAAACATGGCAACAGAGGCAGTCGAGAGTTATCTCAGGAAAAAAAAGGGGACAAAAACCACCTCCTCTATCTAGCCCAGACTTGATGGGAAAGGAAGAGCTGAACAAGTGTGCACATCTGGGGGTGCTCATCTCCTAGACTGCACCCAGAGAAGGTGAATGATTCTGATGCTGCAGTCTTGGAATTCCAGTCAGTACACAAACAGAAGGATTTCTGGGCTGAGATGAATATATGTCTCTGCACAGCTTCTAATCTTTTTGATTTTGTGTTTTAGTGCAGTGAATCTACTGGGGAAGATTTATCATCGCTGTAGCTAACCTACATGGGAAAAGTTGACATTAGATCTTACATCCAAGCTTTGAGCAAAGCTTTGGCTTGCCTGCGTTTTCCGTTGTCTCCACTTGTCTGGTGCCTCCCTGAACATATGTCTGATCGGGAAATCTGTTCTTATTTCCTAGCTTTTATGCAATAAAGGAGCTTTTGAAATGTTGCTTCGTGCAGCGGTTCAGTATTTCAGGAGAGAGAAAAACACTGCTGACAGAGACTGGATTTCTGTTGTTAGTAAAGCTGAGCTGAGCTCTGAACTGATTCTTGCACCTGGGAATGTAAGCAAAGCCTGCAGACACAGAGGAATAGCTTTTCCCTGCAGGCTGAGCATGTCAGAGGCAGATCATTGCTAGGAGAGCTTGTACTTTACAGCATCAAGCTGTGTAGAAAAAGGAATTCTAAAAGCAAGCTTGCCAGTTCTTTTTTAGCTGAGTGGTTTTGAGCAAGGCAAGATTTGAGATGCTGTTTGCTCATGGAAGATGGAGAGATGAAAAGCAAATAAAGGGCATTCTGTGCATGGCCAGTGCATTCACCTGCACTGTTCTCCCCCCGCTCAAAGGAGCAGCAGCTCAGCAAGCTTGGCCTGGGCCACTGAAGGGAATGTGCAAACATCTGGACTAGCCCCTCCACTCCTGCCTCCTCTGCATGCCTCGCCACGCTTTCCTGCTTTTCATGCCAGGGTGGGGCAGAGTGGCTTTCAGCTGAGCTGGGTGGCAGAGACGACACAGTGTTGGGTGGAACTGCCTTCCACAGCACTGGGCTGTATGGGCAACTTTTAGTGGTGCTGGGATGGATGGCCTGCTCTGGCAGGGAGCTGGAGAAGAAAAGCAGTAGGCCATCCAACTCCTTGTGGTTTCTGTTTAGACTGCAATAAAGGAAATATCTCACCATAGCTAAGAGCCAATTGAGTCAAAGGAAGCTCAGCAACTCAGCTTTTTGGATTGTGGTATCTCATTTAAAATAATGGAGTTTGAAAGCTGAATGGTGTCCAGTCCAACAAGCTTATTCTCTTAGGCCGTGGTGAAGCTGAGTAAACCAACTTAGGAATAGGACACGCCACTGGGTTCTGTCAAGCAGGTATTGCCTTTATTACAGCACTGGGTGCATGGGGATAACTCCACCAACATGCACACCCAGAGAAGCAGTGACTGTGGGTTTATAGGCGTAGCATAGACATATTCATTACATTCCAAGGACATGGGCAGAAATTCCAAGAAATAATTAACATCTCTAGTGGCCGTGGGATGAAGGCTAATAGTCATCCTCGCTGTAAATTTCCAACCTTTTAAGGCAGGCTGCCCAAACCGGCTCCCACTGATGTTACATTGAGCTGAGGCATATGTTTTGCCATCTTATTTTCAACAACAGGACATCTATTCTAAACTGATTCCAAAATCCCATGAGAGGGACCAGACGTCCTGGCAGATGTAACAAACCAGGTGTGAGCACTGTATTTCCAATTTCACACTGAAGTCGTTAGAGGAAAGGTAGGACCTCTGGCCTTCCCTCAGCACCAACTACTGACGGCGGATTTGCTCACAGATCCTTCACAGCTGTTTCAAAGAACTATCATTCTTTGATCCTCAAGGACACATCCAAACCAAACCATTCTGTACTTCTTAAGATCTTCAAGGACTCTTCCAACATAAACCATCCTATAGTTCTGTGATCTTCAAGGGTCCTCACGACACAAACCATTCTAGAGTTCAGTGATCACTAAGAAACATCCCAACTCATGCCATCCTATGGTTCTATGATCTTCCAGGACCCTTATGACACAAACCAATCTATGATTCTTTGATCATCAAGGAATCTCCCAACGCATGCCATCCCAAACCAAGCCACTCTGTGGTTCTTAATGATCTTCAAGGACTCTTCAAATACAAACCATACTAGGGCTCCATGATCTTCAAGGGCCCTCCTGTGCTGGTGATGTCACAGAAACAGAAACACAGAAACACAGAATGGCCTGGGTTGAAAAGGACCTCAAAGATCATCTAGTTTCAACCCCCCTGCTCAATTTGATTACTCTCACCAAACTGACTTGGATTTTTTTTCCCCACATTCTAACAAAGAAGCCAATAACTACAAACTTGCTTTCATTTGCTATCAGATAAACAGGAATCAACTACATATAACATCTCTATTGTAAGATAATTCAGGACTTCCCTCAAAGAAACAGCTTTTCTCTGAGAAAAAGCCCATAAATTGCTAAGCCTGATCCTGCAAATTCAATTCACTATTAACAGGGATTAATTTTTCTATTGACATTAAAGATGTTTAAGCTGGTATGTAACCAATGTTAACTACTGTTTCTCTGGACTCCCAGCAGCAGAAAGCCCATGGATGGGATAGAAGGGCAAGGGATGCAGTGAATTCTTAATTGTACAGCCACAGCGTCATGCAACACAAAAACCACCAGCCAACTTCTCGCCTGGCTGCTGCAAATTGTCGCTGAATTCAGTTAACCTGTGACAATTCTCCACAAGATGAAGCTTCGGCTAGCAAGTAGAAGCATATACATGAGTAATAAAAAAATTTTACCTCGCTGTGGCTTTGTATACATTTAAAAGCTCTATTTAGGTAATAAATCTGTTAATTCCAGCTGCTGGACAAGCATGGGAACTGGCCAAGCAGCATCGGGCCACACTCATCCGCACTCAGTGGAGAGCCCTTTGCAGCAGCAAGAGCTATTCCTGCAGGGTGACCTGTTGCTCCTATCATACACTACCGAAATTCCACTCTTCCCAGAAAAGTGGGAAATGGTGACCAACATCTGTGTGTTGGTCATTGCTGCCCACGAAAAGTGTTGGATGGAGAAGCCTCAACACCTGTGATTTGGAGATGGGGCCTGGAGAGGTGGCAAGCATGGGGGTGGGAAATAGAGCAGGGCAAAGCCTGCAGCACTTACTGTAGCTGTAGTTCTTGGCCAGGTAGGTCGACAGCGTAGACTTAGTCTTTTTGCACCTGCATCGCTCTTCAGGGGGAGAGAAGGGGAGCGGTTATGGGGTGTGGGGCAGGAAGGGGAGGTGGGGAGGCCCCCCAGGCTCACCCTGGCCGCGGCTCCTGCACTCGGGCTGTGGGGGTCTGTCCAGCACCAGCATGCCCTGTGTGAAGGCCATCCACTTCCCATCTGCAAACAGAGGGGCTGTCGGGGGGGTCGGGTTGGAGGGTGCTGCAAGGTCATGGGCCACCCCCTGCTGCCCCGCCACCCCCAGCCAGGCGCTCACCCACCCTCGGGGGGTGAGCCTCGGGGAAGATGCAGACACTGCGGTTGTAGATGGGGAGGTTGTCACAGGCCAGGCTTCGGGCCAGCTGTGATTGTAGCGGCGCATGATGGGCTCGCAGCCATCGCGGGCGCGCCGGCAGACGGAGCGGCAGGGCTTGATGGGGTCGTAGAAGAACTCCGCCGTGCAGATGGATGCGTGCATGGTGCAGAGGAAGGGGAGCACTGGGCTGCAGCCGGTGCCCACCAGCTCCTCGTACTGCTCGATGGCCAACACAGCATTCTCCTGCGTGCTGTGGTGGAGGTGGTTGGGCATACAGGTGATGTTCCAGGGCATGGGGCGGCACATGGGGATGTGCACCGCCTCGCACGGTGCATCCTGCGCCCACGGGCTCACCCGCAGCCACAGAGACCCAGCCACCAAGGCGCACAGCATCCTCCTTCTCCTCCTTCTCCTCCTTCTCAGCTGCCTCCTCCTCCTCTGCCGCCCCTGGGTCCGGCTGCACTCAGTGTCAGGAGCGGCACAGACAGCCATGGAAATCGCGGGACGGCATTTATAGCGGCGGTACCCGTGAGTGGGGCAGATCCACTCCCCAGGCAGCCCCGCTGCGCCGCTGCTGCCTAGTCCCACTCACCAGGCACTCTCCAGCTCTAGCTCCTCATGTTCCTCTTGCAGGCACTGTTTTTCCTGGCACAGCACCTGGCAGAAAAAAGCGTGAGTGCCTGTGCCTGCTGCAGCTCTCCTCCAGGTCCCCAGGCAGCCCCGATCCCTTCGCCCCTCCACACTACCTCAATCTGCTCCGTCTCAGCCTGCAGCTGCTTTTCCAGCTGAGCGATGAGCTGCTTCTCCTGCAAGACAACAGACGAGCCATGTGGGACGGCTGTGCTGGGACCTACGGACCCAAGGGACCGGGACCGAGGCAGAGCCAGAGGCCACGTCTGCACCCAGGCATCTCTGCAGCACTTGTGGCAGCAATGGGGCTGCAGTGGTGCTGGGGTTGGGGTCGGGTTCTGTTCGGCACGTGGAGTGACAGAGCAGCCCATCCCATCCCTGGGCTCCTGGCAGTGGGCTGATGGCGTGGACCCCCACTGCAGCCGGCGGGGCTCCCAAACGGCCCCTTTGGCACTGTGTGGGGACTTGGGCAAATGCTGGTATTTCTGGGAGAAAATGTCACAGCAAGGATTGAAAACTGGCATTTCTGCTACAAAACGTCATATATATTGGAGATAACCAATATTTCTGGGAGAAGAAGTCATATATTTGGGAGGAAACTGATATTTCTGGGAGATAATGCCATGTTTTGGGAAAAACAACTGGCATTTCTGGGAGAAAATGTCATATATGCGGGAGAAAATGTCACAGTGAGGAATGTAAAGTAGTACATTTGGAAGAAAATGCAAGGTATTTCTAGGAAAAGTGGTATTTCTGGGAGATCAGATCATATCTTGTTGGAAAACGTCATATATTTCTGAGAAAGCCGGTATTTCTGGTTGAGAATGCCATATTTTTAGGAAAAAACTCGTAAAACTGAGAGAAAATGTCATGGTCTTTTGGGACCATGTGGGACCATTTGGGATCATCTGTGGGATTAAAAGAGTGTTTCTGGAAGAAAAAGTCATGTATTTGCGTGAAAACTGGCATTGACAGAGAAAGTGTCACGTATTTGGGAGCAGAATGGTATTTCTTGCATTATATGTCATATCTTTGGGAAGAAAATTGTATTTCTGTGATAAAATGGCAAATTGTTGGAATAAGAGTCATCTGGAGGAGTGTGAAGTAGTACATTTGGGAGGAGATGTGAGGCATTTTTAAGAAAGCTGGTATGTCTGGGAGAAAATGACTTTCTCTGGGGGGAAAAGGTCATGTATTTGTGAGCAAGCTGGTATTTCGGGTAGAAAATGCCATATTTTAAGGAAAAAGCTGGTATTTCCGGAAGAAGATAATGACATATATTTGGGGAGACAAGTGTATTTCTGGGAGAAAATGCCATATTTTGTGGAACAAACTGGTATTTCTGGGAGAAAATGTCATATGACTGGGAGCTAATGTCACATATTTGGGAGAAAGCTGTCATTTCTGGGAGGAAATGTCATAGTTTTGGTTGAAAATGTCATATTTAGTATTGTAATGCAGATTTTTTTGGAGAAAACGTGAAGTGTTTCAAAGAAAACTGGTGTTTCTGGTTGAAAATGTCATATATTTGGGGAGAAAAATGGTATTTCTGTAATAAGATTACATACTGTTGGGAGTAAGTGTCATACTTTGGAGAGTAAAGTAATATTTTTGGAGGAAACGTGAGGTATTTCTAAAAGAACTGGTATTTCTGTGAGAAAGCTCTTATGTTTTGGAGTAAATGGTCATGTATTTTTGAGAATGCTGGTACTTCTGGGAGGTAATGCCATATTTTAAGGAAAAATCTGGTATTTCTGGGAGGAAAATGTCATGTTTTGATTGACAATTTCATATTTTTTATTGTAACCTAGTATTTCCGGGAGAAAACCTGAACTATTTCTAAAAAACCTGCTATTTCTGGGAGAAAATATCATATATTTGGAAGAAATCTTCATGCGTGTGAAGGGGTTTTTGTTTTTTTGTTTTTTTTGTTTTTTTTTGTTAGACAATGTTATATTTTGGGGAGAAAATTTTACATATTTGGGAGAAAACTGGCATTTATTGCAGAAAATGTTGTATTTTTTGGAGAAAATGTCATATGTTTGGAAAAAAACTGCTATTTCCTGAGGAAAATATCTTCTACAGGGGGAGAAAACTGGTATTTATGGGAGAAAATAACATGGTTTTGGTAAAAAAAAAAAAAAAAAAAAAAAAAAAAAAAAGGTGTATTTTGAGATTCATAGGGGTCTTTCTGGGAGAAAATGTCACATATTTGGGAGAAAAGTGGTATTTCTGGGGGAAAATGTCATATTTTGGGGAGGAAACTAGTATTTCTGGGAGAAAATATCTTACATATGGGTGAAAAGTGGTATTTCTGATAGAAAATGTCATATTTCTGAGAGAAAACTGCTATTTCTGGTAGAAAATGTTGAACTTTTGGGAGAAAATGTCAGATTGAGGGGAGTATACTAGTATTTCTGGGAGAAAATGTCATATTTAGGGGTAAAAAAAGTCATATTCAGGGGTTTAAAGTGGTCTTTCTGTTAGAAAATGTCATATATTTGGGAGAAATTTGGAATTTTGGGGATAAAATGTCATATTTTGGGGAGAAAATACAATATATATTGGTGTAATGTGATATTTCTGGGAGAAAATATCATAATTTTGGAAGGAAACTGGTATTTCGGGGAGAAAATGTCATATATTTGGGATTAAATATCATACTGTGGTGTGTAAAGTGGTTTTTCTAGGGAGAAGAATTCACATGTTGAGGAGGAAGCTGGTATTTTGGGGAGAAAATATGTTATGTAGGGGAGAAAACTGGAATTACTGTGTCATGGTTTTATGATTTTTGGTTATCAGTATTCCACATCATAACGTCATGTAATGCACTGGTGGTTTGACTGCTGATGCTCAAGTTCTGGGTGCCTGTTTGGAGGAGAAGAACAACTACATTCCCCAGGGGGCTTTGTGGTCAGTGAGGAGATAGAACTTCTGGCAAGGTCACCAGATGCTCTCTTCTTCGCCTGCTCTTCTTCGCCTGCGCTCCTCCGTCTGCTCTTCTCCGTCTGCTTTTCTTCATCGGCTCAATGGACTGCACTTCTCACCTCAGTGTTGTGGTGAGGCCTATCCACCTTTCGTACACGCTCTATCTCATTATATTTTGCTGATACTATATTCAGTAAATTAGTTTGTTTCACCTCAGATTGTTGTCACTGTTTTCAATTATTTTGGGATCCCCTGTTTCTCTTTTCTGGAGGCACAGATCTGTAGATCCCTCTGTCCCGCTAGTGAACAGCTATGGGCTAGAACAGGGCCGAACCAGCCCATAAACCGTTGACATACGGATAGAAAATGTCATATTTTGTAGAGAAAACTGGTATTTCTGAGTGAAAATGTCTTATTTTTGGGGAGAAAACTGGTATTTCTGAGTGAAAATGTCTTATTTTGGGGAGAAAATGTCACATATTTGGAAGAAAACTGTTATTTGCCAAACGAGAAGCAGCGACTGGGCTGGGACGAGGTGCCATCCCAACGTCACAGCTCATCCGCACTCCATTGGCTCCAAGCGCTCATCAGTTGCAGGAATGCATTGCTCTGCGTGATGTTAAGAGTGGGGATTGTTGGTAGATACAGATTCGGTCAGGCATGCCACACTGCAAAATCCCACCGCTATAGACTTTTTACTGCTGGCTCACGGGCACGGATGCGAGAACTTTGATGGAATGTGCTGCATGAACCTCACGGAACACTCGTCATCAATACACCAACAAATAGCTAAGCTACAAACCCTCACCAGCCATTTGCAGGAAGAAGAGGCTTTGGGATTAGAGGACTGGCTCCGTGGGCTAGGAATTGGCCCCTGGTTTCGAGACAGCATACGATTTGTGCTTATGATACTGGGGGTATTCACTGTGTTACTGTTGGTGGTGCCATGTGTGTTCTCTTGTCTACAGCGCTTAATGCACCGGGCAATTGATAAGCTAGTAGGAGCTAGCCTAGTTGTCCAAAAAGAAGTGTGGGGAGCGTGATTGAGACCTGGCTTGCTGAGAAAGGCCACACAGACAGTATTCGGCTAATGAGGCGAGAGTAAACAAAACAAGGATACGCTGCCCTTGAGCAATATACAGGATGTAATCAAGACAAGGACATGATGCTCTTGAGCAGTGTAACAGGATGTGAAGGAAGGAAGCAGAATGTAGAAATCAGAAAGATAAATGGCATGGTCTAACCACAAAAAGTACAAAGAAGGGCTGGGGCTACAAGTAGCTGAAAAGCCTATCAGGAGCTAAGACTTTGCAATATGTATGAGCTTCATTAGCACCAACATAAATGCACGCAACCTTGCTGATTAAAGTTGAGACTTTCTGATCAGTTATGTGGTTGTGTGTCTGTCTCCCGCCGAGCTCCAACAGGGTACACTGTAGGGCTAAATGTGGCCTTCCTCTCCAGGCTGTTTCCTATTACCTCTTGGTCAAAGTGAAATGTGCAGTCCCAGAGGACTTCGTCTAGCTGAACATGACGGAGACCCAAATTGTCTGGGGACTGACCAAAGCTCTGCAGGAAACCCCGTGGTTTGCTCCCCTTTACTCTCTCACCCTCCCTAAACACGTCTGGTGACAGCAGAGCTTTCCCAGGCTCTGGGCCAACTCTGTAGCAGACTCCCATCTTACATTTTTTGCTTTAAGTTGGGTGTGTTTTGTCCTTTCCTCTACCCATCTTGAGGCAGCCACGGAGTACTGAGTGCAGGAAAAGGCCCTCCAGGAGCAGACGGGGCTGCGCTGTGAACCAGGGCCCAGCAGTTGGGTCAAAGCCTCCTGAGATCATGTTTTAAAGAAACACAATGAAACAAATCTCCCCATCACAGGACAGGAGGGGATGCTGGGAAACGAACCTCACTCCTGTAATTAGATCCACATCTCGTGCCCACGTGGACTCAGAAGTGGGAACGGAAGGCTGCTCTGCTGTTCTGCTGCCTCAGCGATGGTGCAGCGGTTCGTGGGCACCACTGTGGCGGTGCTGCTCCAGCTGATATTCTCTATTCTTCTGAAAAGGGGGAGTTTGCGTGCAAGAGACAATTTTCACCGCACCCGAAGTCATTCATCTCTCCAGAAACAGCAGCGGATGCATAAAGAAACACGCTTCATCTCGCCGTGAACACCGCTGCGCGCCCCCAGTCAGCGCTTTCCTCGTGGCATGGATACAGCCCGTGCTCGCCTCGCTGGAAGGCCCGCACGGCACGGGGCGGCGCGGGCTCGGCCTCGCTGCGGTCCCCCACGTCCCCGCCCTCCTCCTCCCGCAGCCCCAGCCGGAGCCCGGCCGTCCCGGGGTCCTGGCAGCGGAGCGGGCGTCGCCGCGGGCAGCCGGGCCGGGGCCACCCGCGACGTGCGCGGTGATGATGCAATGACCCCGCGCGCAGCGCCCGCCCCGTTCCGCGGGCCGACCAATGGCAGCGCGGCGGAGGCGGGGCCGAGCGCGGGCTCTCTTCCAATGGCGGCCGTGGCCGCGGGGCCCCCGTGATGGCGCCGGCGGAGGCGCGGATGTCCGTGCGGAGAAAGCCCGGGCGCGGCCATCGGTCCCTGCAGGGAGGTGCGGATAGGATGGAGCCAGGCTGCGCCCGGCGCTGCCCAGCAGCAGGACCGGAGGCTCACGCTGCACCACAGCAAGTTTCCCCGCAGTGCTGCCACCGCCGCGCCGCTTCCCCTGCTTGCACCAGGCAGGCTGCACAGCCCGTGCAGGCGATGCGCACCCAGACGTGCCCGTCCCGCAGAGCGCGTCCAGCAGCTGGGGGACATTGGGGTGGTTGCTGCGAGCCGAGAGCTGCAGCTCCTCCAGCTCAGGTTTCCCTGTATGTCACCGCTGAGCCCCCAGCTCGGCTCAGCGCCGTTGGATATTTTTGCCGGTGATCACGGTGCAGGAGATGAGTGCATCCTTGTGAAATCCACCGGGCATCCTAAGGGACGAGGTGCTGCTGGCACTCCTGAGGTTTTTAAGGGGCAGCAGGGAAAACTGGAGGGCTCAGGGCGGTAGCTGGGGGCTCTTGAAGGGACTTTGAGATGCTGTGGGTTCAGAATTGCGGTTTTTCCTCATGTTTCACACAGAAGGTGGCAGTTTGGCTCAATACCTCGAGGTGGCAGCAGGACCCCCAACAGCAGAAACGTCCGCTGCCCAGAGCCCCGTGTATGGTTGTGAGAAGGATGGAGGGTGGAATAGACGTAGAACATGCACAGGATGTTATCAGATGAAATTCAGCGTTGGCACCAAGCTTCCCCCAGAAGCTCTTTGCAGGCAGCTCAGTCATCGTGTTTTATTCTCTTCTCACCTCAGTCCAAAAGTATTATCCACATCTGTCAGCAGGTCTTACCTCCAACCTTCTCAATGGACAGTGCTTCAACAGCACCAAGTTGCCTCTGTGGCCCTCATTCACCTCACTGCGTTAGCACTCAAATGTTATTCTCACTGAACTACGTTCTTTCTTTCCTCCTCCAAATAAAATATTTGTCAGACTAGAAAAATAGAAGGCTGAATCTGGGACACCCACAGTCTGCCATGG